ATCAGGATTAATCACATGAAAATTATTTAATTGAGCAACGCTAATCAATACTAAGTTCTAACCGCTCTCGCGGCATAGAGTACAATAATTTTTGGAACCAGTCTGATTTCTCATGTGACAAGTATCTAAATTATTGCCAAAACGAGCGAGCATATGGCCCCTTAACCGTTAGACTGTTTTTACTTGGACTGTAATTTGCTGGTCTGGTCTGGTCTGAACTAGTCTGGTCTGATCTGGTCTCTTTGTCTTTTTATAACTATCCAAGTCTGGTCTGGTCTGGTCTGTTGTGGTCTGGTTTGGGACGAATTACAGTCCAAGTAAAAACATCCTTACTAATCTATTAGCGAACGATTAAGTGTGTGTGAAAGTGTCCTAAAATAAATTAGACATCTCTTAATTTAATCTACATGCAATTATAATCCTAGGATTACAAGAGATATCAATTAAATCATTCAAACAAATTAAATAAAGATTCATGCAACTAATTCATCAAGAAACTAGTCATACATCATGATCAACCCCTTCATCAATCTCAAATCCCTAATTAAAACTACTCACAAGTCATAATTGAATTAACAATAGAATTGAGATAAAAAAATTAATTTTCATTAATAAAAAAGATGTAACTTTCAAAGAATCCCAAAATATTGAAGAACAAGGCTGAAAAAGCTCTCAAAACTCAAAAGTCGAAATAGGATTTATCTCTCTAAGCTCCATAACGTAAAACAGGCAAACAAGGGCCATTTAAATAGAAAACTCCAAAAACGGGGGAAAAACTAGACCGCACAGTCGTCCGCATGGGGTGCGGTCCACCGTGCAGTCGCGCGAGAATTATTTCCGCCTTCGTAAGTTGCTCCGCCCACACGGTCCGACCGTGCGGGCACACCTCAGGTGCGTTTCTGGACCGCGGAGCGTGCAGTTCAACCGCGGGGCACGTGGTTCAGACTTCTTGACTTCTAGCTCTCTGAATTATCCGGGGGCATGCAGGAATGACCCGTGGGACGCGCAGATGTCTCTTGAACTGCTTTCTTGGTTTTTCTTCCCCGTTTGCTCCCGATCGATCCTATCTTCAATCTTTGAACTTTCTAGCCTCGAATCATGCCTCTAAATCATCGCGTGGACCTCTGATGCCTCTTTCTATCTCTTGAACACATCCCGAATCTTCTCAACGTAAGCTCAAACACCGATGTCGGGTCCGAATTCCTACTTTTCTTCAACGAATGCAAACCAAATTCGGTAAACCATGACTTGAGCTAAGCAAATGCTTTGTGAAGCAAATAAATTAGGAAAGATCACAAAACTCAATCTCAACATGCATCAAATGCGTTTTGAAATACGAAATTATTAATACCCTATGTTATTAAGTCATTGAATACATTGTCATTGATTTCATCAGCTATGGATAGTGAAGAGGCTCATACTCTTGGCCTTCTGTTTCCAGCAACGATATATGTGTTCCTCTGCAATTTAGGGAAAACTTATGCGCTTCGATCTTCAAGGCCTAATCACCGTAAGGATCTTCTTTCTTTGCTTTCCTTTCCCCCTTCGTTTTGCTTTTCAATTTGTCTATTGTGTTCTGGTTCAATGAATTTGTGCTCTTATTTTGTCTGCGAGAAGAGGCACTCAGTAGTAGGCCGAATTTAAAACTGAAATATGAAAAGTTTAGAGAATGAATGTGAAGTCAAGGGCATTTGAAGCGTGATATGAAATCTAAAATTTGTAGTGGGATTTAAAGAATGCGAAGAACTAAACAAAATTTAAAGATAGTTTAGTATCTTTCAATCGGTAGTAGGGTGAGTTTAGCAATAAGATATGAAAACATGGTGTTTTATCTTTTTATTTTACAATGGAAGTTTCGAATGTTAATTGTATCTTCATGAATGCTAAAAAAAATTAAACTATGAAATTAACACCAAAAGTTGACATTTTTGAAAAAAATAATACATGACTAGGATGCTAATAACTATTTATATAAAGTTTGGAGTATTTAAATTACATATGCAAGTTTGGGGTGCTTACTTCACACCTCCTAAAAGTTTGGGATATTTTTATTATTTTTCCCTTAATTTAAATACCCCAAAATTTATATAAAAATTTATTTTAGCACCATAGTCAAGTATTATTATTTCTTTCAAAATGTAAGTTTATGGTGTTAATTGCACAATTTAAAATATTTTAGAATGCATGAAGACAAAATTAACATTCTTAACTTCTATAAGGAAATAAATAATGTTACCCCCAATATGTATAATTGTAACACTTCTAATTTTCTATTTTAAATTATGCAATTAACCCCATAAATTTACATTTTTGAAAGAAATAATACATGACAATGTCCCAAAAAAAACTTTTTATTTAAAGTTTGAGGTGTTTAAATTACATATGCAAGTTTGGGGTGTTTACCTCACACCCCTTCAAAGTTTAGGGTATTTTTATTATTTTTCCTTCCAAGAATGAAAGGTTAAGTATGTAACAATATGTGAAGGGCATTCTCACTTATAAGGCCTTAGACTCATGTCTCTGCCCTCCCAGAAACATAAAAAAATGCATAAATGAAAATAAAGGATGTTTCATGAGGGACACTTGTCAAAGTTAACACTTAATCAGTTTTTGGATTATGGAGATAACATTTATTAGGTCCTATTTTCACATCTTATCTCTAGTAGGGCGAGTTTAGCAATAAAATTTGAAAATTTTAAAGAATGAATGTGAAATCAGAGGTATTTGAAGCGGGATATGAAATCTGAAGTGGGATTTAGAGAATGTGAAGGACAAAACAAAATGTAAAGATAGTATGTTATCTTTGAATCAATAGTAGAGCGAACTGAGCAATGAAATCTGAAACGTTTTGACAAATAGAGACCAACCCTTTGTACAAACACATAAGTATAGTTGTAACAGATTAAAAAGAAAATAAATTATGTTTTTGTTCAAAGCAAAAAATATTGCATTTTACTTATCAACCCTTTTTAACTGGAAGCCTATACAGTATCGCTTTCCTTGGTTGTATGCTAATATTGTACTTCCATTTAGTTCAAGCAAGTCTTATCCAAGTTGATACGCTCTTTTTTATGTTGAATAATGCATAAAGGTCTCGGAATACCCAAACACAATATAATGAAACTTCAGTACGGTAATGATATGTAATTTTGCATATCGAAATTTTTTGGTATGGTAAAGTTGTAAAGGTATGAGATAAAATAGTTGATAAACCGTACCGAACCACCTTTAGTCATTATTGTTGTAGCCTATAAATATGAAAGTCCAGATATTGCGGCTAAAAGTGCTAATATACAACTTTCACGGAACTTATTTCCAATAACTTTCAAGCCTATCTAATCCAAACGAGAATCTAATTTTTATTAAATGTAATTGCAGTGTTTTTTGATAAAGAAACTTAAATGATTTATATATTCTCCACTTAGTACATACTTTTTTATGCAAATTTTTGGTATGTTTGACACAACTAGTTGAAAAAGTACTTTTGTCAGCTTTTAGTAACTGTTACATTTTTTGACTGATAATATCTTAAAAAAGTTGCAACTTTTGATATAAAAAAATAGGTTGTTTGATTTAGTTTTGCTTGATATAGCAAGCTGTTGTGACTAATTAATGGTACAAGGTAGGGTCTTATGCGCATTTTCTAGTTTTTGTACTATTGAAAAAGTACCTACAGGTTCTAGTTGTAGGTTTGGTAGGAAAGTATTTAAGAGCTTTTCTAAAAACAAAATATATATTTTTAAGAAGCTACACCGGGCAGCATCTTAGAAAAGTTTGTTGCTTTTAGTACTACGTATTAATTACTCATAATAGTTTGTTATACCAAACAAAACTAAATCAAACAATCAACTTTTTATTAAACACTTACTCCATCGGTCCCTAAGTACATTTGACATGAAGATTAAGATAATGGGTATTGTGTGGTTGAGAGTTGTACAAGGCAGAGGGGGGGGGGGGGGAATGTGTAAGAAAGTGTAAGAATTATTGTGAACAACAAATTCTTTATCAAAAAAGGTAATTGAAAGTTTATTTTGGGATGTCCAAAAAAGAATTTGAAAGTTCAATCAGGGATGGAGGGAGTAAAATTTATATACTTCGTATTTAAGAACTTTTAACTTTTAAATCACCTAAAAGCTAAAGTTGCTAAAAAGTCACAAAAGTATCTTTTCAAATAGTTGTGCCAAACATACCCTATGCCTAGCTACCAGCCTACCAAACATGCACTACAACTTTTTTATTATATAGTATTAATGTAGTTTTAATGACAACATAAAAGAATAATTCCAATTTTTAAAAAGACGATGTAGAGATTATATTGGGATTTCCCCTTAGATACAATTACCTCCGTTCTTTTTTAATTGCAACATTGGTGTGTTTTGCACTATTCACATACTCTATTTTGACTACATTCTATTTATTCACGAATTATAAATATTTTTTTTGAAAGATTTTATTAAATTCGTTTCATTTTACAAATTCAAAATAAGATTTTTTTTTAAATTTGTTTACTTATAAGAAATGAAATATTTAAATGATTAAGTTTGTGTGTTGCCAAACGTGAAAAGTGGACCGTTGCAACTAAAAGAGAACCGATGAAGCAATACTAAAATTGATTTCCAAAAAATGAGCACTTTATATATAGGTAAAAATGTGACTAAAAAAGTAATTGATTTGGAAAACATGATGTCAATATCAGTTTTATATCACTACTAATGTCACTCTTGCCGCCTCTAGTGTCACTACCATTGTAGAACAAGTCATTTTGAATTTCTAATTATTAAAAATAAACATGGATGCTTAGACTTTATTAACTCCACATTAATTAGCTTTTATTTTACGAGATGAATTACGTTTATTTTATTTAGCTTTTAAAAGGTTTTTAATTATTTTTTATAATCATGTAGTTTTTTTTATGATATAATAATCGTGTACGTAATGTTAATTAACACACTTCTTGTTAAAATTTGTCTTTTTCCATAAAATTGATATAATTATTATTCATATGAAATTAATAAATTTATTTTAATCAACAAAATTCACTCATAAATAGTCTTTCAAACACAAAAGTCCATGTATAAAAAATCCAACCGTATACAGTATACAAGATGAGAAAGGTGCAGAATTGAGTTTGAAAGACATACAAGATGCTCGATGATAGTTGAAACAAATTCTACAAGAGAAATAAACAGTATACAATATTATTAGGTACGGTTATTCATTGTCTTCCTTGTAATCCATTCTTATTTGACAACTAGAAATCTATTTTGGGCAAAAACTTAAGTGGGAATGACAAACTCAATCAAAAAATTAAAATGATCGTGAGTTCACTTGTGAAATTCCATGATCCAAGTGTTGACGGCGCAACAAATCTTGTGAAACCCTTTGAAACCGGATCCCTTAGCCAGGGCCTCAAATTCCTTCTCAGTCCTCTCTTTCCCGCCGGGATTATGGGCCAACATTATGACATCAATGTGAACCACATTCCTAGTTGCCGGCGAGGTGTCTGGTAATTCTGGTAAATTACACTCTGCTACAATCAATTTCCCATTTTCCGGGAGCGCTTCATAGCAGTTTTTCAAAAATTTCAAGCAATGATCATCACTCCAATCATGACAAATCCACTATAAATAGATTAGAAATGGCATTAGTATATCGCACACGCTTGAAAATTTAAGAAGCTCAAGCAACATATACGACTCGTAGAGGAATTTTTAAAACTCGATTTGAGTTTAACTATAAAAACAGAATTGTCTATTAACAAAATCAGAGTAAAAAAACAACTCGTGCAGTTTATTTTGGTGACAAGTGTTTGTTGACATAAGATTCAGACTATTCTCTTTTTATTATAAAAAATCTGTTAGTAGGCTTATACGGAGTAACTAAGAACAATTTTTTTTTACTATAAATTCTGCTTGTAGGCTAAAAATATATTATTTGTCAAAACTTCATTGATAGTAATTCACTTTATTACTTATATATTAATGCATTTCAATTAACACTCAAGAAGAATATTAAAAATTACGTGACAAATTTAAGTGGCAATGTCCTACCTTCATGAAAATGGCGTCGCCTTTGGGGACGCTCACGAACATGTCTCCACCGACATGCTCAATACCTATAAAATTTACAAAATGTTTCATTCGAGCAAATGTTTAAGCCGGTAAAGTTCAATTAAAAGCATTTAACACTATATATACATAAGTAATGTACCAGGATAAGGAAGAGCGTCTTGAATAACATGAGGTAGATCGAAGTTAATGCCTTTAATTTCTGGATATTTGGAGAGGATCATGTTAAGGGTGGCGCCAGTTCCTCCTCCAACATCCACTAGGGTTTTTAGGCCTTCAAATCCCTTGTAATCATCAAGAATCTTTTTCATGGTAATGGTAGAGTGGTCTGACATCCCACGGTTAAAAACCTTATTAAATCGAGGGTCTGTTCCGTGATACTCGAATGCACTCATTCCATACGCCTTGTTAAAAGGTATCCCTCCATCAAGTACCGCTTCTTTTAAGTGATACCTAAGAATTGTATGTAAACTTGTCATAACTAGGCTAACTAGGAAATTGAAAATAATCTGAACATTAGTCTTTGTTATTCTTTACTATATGAAAAATCAGGAAGTTTTTTAATTACAAAAAAATATTGATAACGATTATTATTATATTCAATTTTTGAATGGACTTCGACCCATTATCTTCCAAGAAAGGAATAAAGTATTTGTTTTCTTTTTATAAAAGATTTATTGTTGGAAGCAGTCAAACATTAAGAACCCATTTGGTAAAATATATTTTAAACTTATCAGCTTTATTTGTAAACTTTTATACAAAATACATAATTTTAATTTCACGCGCAGAATTTTGTAATAGTCAAAATAGATAAGGTTAAATTATTTTTTTATTAAATTGATTGAAGTTACTATAGATGATCATTTTAGACATTTTGATTTATTTTTTATTTCATCAATGAAACATACTACGTATTTTAAATATATCTTTTCTATCGTTCAACAGATTTATCCCATTCTATCGTTTCAACTAATAAAATTCCATCCATTTAAACATATTCAATCAGTTTAAGTGTTATCAAATTGACTTTGAGAGATATACGACCTTGATAGTATTGCGGAGGTCGTCGTCGGAGGTTCAGTAGTTTCAATAAATCATTTTTAAACACATCTTTAATCTTTAATGTTTAACCATAGTCTGTACTCTAAAGTCTAGATTAGCTGCTGTTAGTTCCCTATCAGTGTTAGGTGGATTGGTAGAGACTAGAGAGTCCACCAACCGGGTGCAAGGATAAATTTGTGTTTAATATGATTATAGATTTATAGATGTCTAGATTCAAAATTGTGGTACTAATGTACCAATGATCTGGCATAACCATTATGTTTCTAATGTCGAGAATTTGTTACTACCATGATGCCAAATTACTCAGTCAATATTATCATGTTTGTTTTTGAAAGAAAATTGCTTAAATTGATAAAATGATATCACAACATTCAAATAGGAAACAAAAAGATAAAGGACCATTCCCAACCGCCGACCCTCATGCAAGGTTTAGAGTCAATCACAATCCAGAGTGCAACATGATTCAATGATCCTATAATGAGTCTAATTATCCAACCGCGGTTAAAATAAACCTCTAATCACATGATCCTAATGCAAGAGTAGATATAAAAAAATGCGACAACAAAGACAATCAATATAGTCATCAGTCATGTTAATGTTTTCTGTTGCAACAATTTTGACACTACATCATTTCCCTATCATTTCAAGAAATTAAATTGTGCACATAATATTTGCTAACTTAATATATATGTTAAAAAATACTCCACTGAAGTCCACTATTGCCCTGTTTGGTCAAAATCGACATTCGCCAAACATCTCATTTTAGCGTTTTGACCGATCAAATCCGCCAAACATGGGCAAAACCACCAAAAAGTGACTGAAAAGCCATTTACTAAACATGGCCTCTCTATGATTATTGGAGCATCTAATATTCAAAATTTACCGACCATACTACAAATCTACAATTAGACAAACCGATTTTATGATCAAATATACTACTACGTACATATGTAGGTAGGTGACAATTCCGTTATCCTTCTAAAAAATAGGGTATCGTACCTACCATTAGATTTAAATAATTCAACTGCTATATTCTCATTCATCCATGTGGACAAAGGTATGGTACCTTATGGGTACCATAGAATCTATGGTATATCTATATGTAGACTATATAGTACGTACGGAGTATGTGAAAAAGAAAATAAATTAAGAGGAAGATAAATAGAACAAAAATACTTCATCCGTTCTTAAATAAATGCAACGGTCAACATTTCACATTTGACGAGACACAACTTTGACCATTAATATAAATGATTTTGTATTAGTAAAAAATTAAAAAAAAATAGATTATGATAATTTACAATGAGACAAGTTTAACAATATTTTTTTCATAAAATAATATTATTACATTAATAAATAAAACGTAGTCAAAGTAAAACATGTGAATAGTATAAAAGTCTCATTTATTTAAGAACAGAGGTAGTATATACCAGCTTTCCATGAGGACTTTGTCTTGATTCATGAGCAAGAGCGGAGCCATGGAAACGCCGTCGGAGTTCTTCGTCAAATACTTGCAAACCGGCGCCAAGCTATAGAGCCTCTCAACCCGGCCGTCTTCCGGGAGGGTCCGGAGAGAGCAGTTCAGGACAGAGTAGGTGCAGAGCAGCCGGAGAATCCGGTCCACCATGACGGCTGCGTTCGGGTTAGTTGTCGGAAGCTGAGCCGCGAGCTCGGAAGGGGAGACGGCTGCTCCCGGTCCGGCTTTAGCCATCAGCTCCAGAAGGTCCAGCTCAATCGCTGATTTCAGCACCATGGGCAGCACTGAAGCGCTCGCTAGCTGCATCGCGAATAAGCTGGCGGCCTCGTCGTCATCCGACTCGGCTCGGCTCCTCAGCTGGCTCTCCTTTCCGGTCGAACCCATTTTTTGTTTTTTGTTCTTTCAATTTATTCTCCGCTCTTTCTAGTCCTTTTCAATCAGCGTGAACGAGGAGAGGAAGAAGCATTTGGATATGAAAGTTATGGGGAATTGGTCATTTATTTATATGGTAGAAATGTACAATTTGGTTCACCTAACATTTGACTTATTTTATTTATATTTTTTTTGCCAGTTTAAACTATTTCAACTTCCCATTGAATTGCTGAAAGAATTTATGACATTAGATTCTGACTTCGTCAAAATTAAAATAATGTTACCAGTTTGAATACTTTATTGGTCTATGTACATATTATGTCTTAATGGTTTGAAATTAAGGATTTGTTGGTGTAATAGTATTATCACTATTATGTACAATGTTGAAGATAATAACATGGGACTAAAACTTGCAAAATGGTTAGCTAGAATAACATTGTTCAAGACCTTGTAATCCTTGCCCTAAGAAAGTATTTCTGGTGGGCAAAAAGTTTTCAACAATAGGGGATAACGAGTTGGTTGTCCATAGCCGAAAAATATAACAACGAGAATAGAAATTATAAAAAACAAACCGACAAGAGGAGAAGAGAATGTAAGGTGATGTGTATAAATGTCGCAGAAGGCTTTGGTATTTATAGGAAACTAAGAAGATGTTCTCTTCACCTGATCTGAATGTTTCTGATCTGAATTTTTTAAGTTCTGATCTGATCTGATCTGAATGTTTCTGATCTGATCTTATCTGAATCTTTCTGATCTGGTCTAATCTTATCTGAATGTCCCTGATCTGATCTGAATGTTCCTGATCTGATCTGAATGTTCCTGATCTGATTTGAATGTTTCTGATCTGATTTGAATCCTTCTGATCTGATCTAAATCCTTCTGATCTGGTCTGATTTAAATATTTCTAAAATTATAATTATAATTATAATTTTTATTATAATAATTAGAAATGTAATTACACATATATAATTTAAATATAATTATAATTATAATCATAATTATAAAAAATTATAATTATAATTATAATAATTATAATAGGTATAATTATAATTATACGTATTACACTAGTTATAAATATAGCTATAATTAGAGGAAGCGGTCCAGCTCAGCTGGTCGCCGACTCACTCTCCCTTATGGGAGGTCTCAGGTTCGAAACTCAATGGGGTGAGTTTCAACCTAGTTTACTTCAGGGGGGGGGGGGGGCAGACCCCCTCCCCCAGACGTCTTCTAGAGTAAACAAAAAAAAGCTATAATTATAATTGTAATTATATTTTTAGTTATAATTATTTTTATAATTATAATTTTAATTATAATTATAATATTTATTTCTATAATTTTAATTGTAATTACTCTGTGTAATATAATAATAACAAAAAAATACTAATAACAATAACAACAACAACCATAATAGTAATAAGAATAATAATAATCATGATAATATTAAATATCATAATAATAATAATCATAGTAATCATAGTAATGATGATGATGATGATGATGATCATAATAATAATAATAATTATTATTATTATTATTATTATTATTATTATTATTATTATAATTATAATTATTATTAATATTATTATAATTATTATTATAATAAAATTGATAAATCATGTCTAAACTTTTCTAATCTGATCTGAATGTTCCTGATCTGATATGAATGTTCCTGATCTGATCTGAATGTTTCTGATCTGATCTGAATGTTTCTGATCTGATCTGAATGATTCTGATATGATCTGAATCTTTCTGATCTGATCTGCATTTTTCTCAGCCTCGGTGCATGTCTTCGACCTGGCCGATAAATGACTTAGGCAGTTAGCTCTTATCTTGCACCGCCAATTCTCGACCGCTAGCTCGGGTAAATGATTTAAATATACTCCATCAAATATGTTGAGGACGAGGGTAGGTTAACCTAAAAATTTAGTATGGTGTTGATGAATTTGTTAATTATAAATTTTAGCAAACAAGATCTATAGACGAAGATAAGATGAGATGTGCATGTACTGAAAGTAAAAATTACAAATTTATTAAATTGGGATGAGTGATTTTGATATCTGTAGTGACATCTCCAGAAAGTATCATCTATGAGGTCAATTTTACACTATGATATTGTCAAACATTTAGTTAACAAACAATCACATAGCAAAAATTGTATTACAAAACTGTCTCTGGATAACAAGGCTGTATATGTCTTGTTTTAATGTTTTCCTTAACAGTTATTATATTTGTCCCTTAAAACTTTGTCAACTTTTCTTGTCGGGATGTCTAACTAATTTTGTCACTTTCCATTTTAAGTAAAGACTTTGTGGATCCAGATAATTCTCTCTCCTCCGTACAAACCTCAACCACAGAATTTTTATTTTATTGATCTCCGTGTCGGTCAACCTTGTCAAAGCTTTAAGAAACGGTGAGAGTATTAATAAGACCTTTACGCCCTTTAAACTTTTTCCTATTACTAAAATTCAATTGCGATGCAAGTGACAACTACACGTCCTCCGTGGTGACACCCCATCCTGTGGTTATTGACATTCCTTCCCTTGGCAAGTGACACTACCGCCCGAGTGATTTGCTGCCACCGGTGACCCTAGTGAGCCATCGTCATCGATGACCTGCCGTCCCAACACCCAAGGGACTTAAGTGACCTCGACGCCCCTTGTGCCCCCGATTCCCCCATTGACCACCTACGGTGAAACCGCGCCTCCTTCAACTAGTAATATATCATTTGTCGCCCATCTGGTGACATTGCCGCCATGACCATTAACCGGTTATCAATTTTGAGTTACAAATTTTTGATGATTAGGAAAGTGATAATAGTAGTAGTGGTAGTGGTAGTAGTAATACTTAAAATAATACTCCATGTTATACATTAATAATGTCCTTTGGGCTTCAACCAGGGGCATAACTCACCGGTAGTGAGAAGATGTTATAAGTGAGAGATTTCGAGTTTAACTCCAAACACTGATTCGGAAAGAATATACTCTTTTTCATTAATATGTGATCAAAATTCATTTTTTTTTTTTGCAAAATCAAAATTCAATTTAAGGAGGAAGAAATATAACCAAAACTTTAAATAAAAACGAAATTAAAGGAGAAAGATGGAATATCGGAACAAAAAAAAAAGTCACCGCCATAAGAAGTCAAACACAAGCGAAAAGAAACGGGAGTAAAAGGGATGAAAAGAAACGGGAGTAAAAGGGATGAAAAGAAACGGGAGTAAAAGGGATGAAGATGATGATAAGAAGTTGTTCATAGGTGCAAAATATTGAGATGGCAGTGACCAGGGGCGGAGCTACTAGAGGGTCAGGGTGCTCAGCTGATCCCGCTGAAAATTTAAGAGTGTAGAGCTCTGAAATATCTTCGATTTGATATATTATGGCTCTCGTAACTCATTACGAGTAAAAAGTTATAACTTCTTCAAAATCAGCACTATTTAAATTTGAAATAAGTAAAATTGTGATGCAAAATATAAATTATATTCACAAAATAGCGTGTAATTCACTCGTTACTTACGTGACATGACTTAGGGACAGAGCAAAGACAACATATCTTACTACTACTAGTGCCTACTCAATAAATGATTCCTTTTTAGTAAGAATTCTTGATACTAAACCGAGTAAGATCGAAGAGAACCAGAGTACTAGGGTAAGACAATGGGTCTCATTTGAAGTACTCAACTCAACCCGTATAAAACAAGTTTATAATATATGTGACATATACGAAGTATATTAATTACATATACTCTATTAGTTTCATTTAAACTATCATTTATCTAAGTTACATTCAATTCGGGTATTGTCTAAAAATAATCTACCGTTTTGATTCTATATAAATTTGATTTCGACCCCGCTGAGTCATTTTTCTGGCTCCGCCCCTGGCAGTAACGTGGTAAAATGTTCGAGTCACATGTCTGGTGATATGGCGATGACATGAGATCACCGACCAACATTTTGACATAGTCAAAATGTGTATGCCTCTTTTGTTAACAATAAACCTGTGAATCGCACCGACATAATATTACTCTTTTACGAGTATATTTTATGATACGGAGTATTTTTCATTGTTTTACAAAAAGAATGTGGAATTTTTATAATTGGAAATTTTAAAACATTGTCATTTTATAACTTTAACTCATTAAATATTTTTTTATTGGAAACTTTTTATAATACTATGTATAAAAATGATGTGAAAATGTTCTTTGTTAATTGTTAGAAATAATTTTATAAAAGTATAAAATTTAGACAAAAATCACAAGAATAATCCCTGCTTTTAGGAATTCAAACTAATGTCCGTTTAATAATCTGAATTCCTACATTCACTTTTCTCTTCCATTCTCTTCTTCCTGGGGTGAATTTAAACAAAACCCCGTTTAATCATTTATGTCATATGTGGTTATTATCTCTAGGTCGGAAAATATAAGAGTTGCTCGAGACGAAGAGTGGTGAAGAGGAAAATGGAGAGTATCAAACCACATTAATACTTGATCTGCTCCGGCCCCAAACAACATGAGAGTATTAAAAGGGGAAGGACGGGTAGGTGCACTTTTGACATAATTAAGGGTGTTTAATGGGTAAATTTTCTATCATTTTGACATAAGCCAACTGTTCTTAAGACTTAAATCTGAAACCTCTTGATCAAGAAACAACACTTAAGATTTACATTACATGTATAATCTTTATTACGTAGTACTAAACTGATGACCAAATATTTGCTTTACCTTCTAATCTAATCTAATAATTTTACATTTAGTTACATAATGAATAAACTGACAGTATACAGTAATAACCGAAAACAGACCAAATTCAATCTTTTCTGTTTGGAAAGAGTGAATGATTTCACTTGCAAACCCAAATCCAAAAATTACAAAAAAACATCACCATGTAGTCGTAGAAAACAGAGGATTTATTAGAAGTAGAGGAAGAAGGAAGAAGAAGAACAGTGGTCGGCGGTGGAGTTGCAGAGGCGCCGTTGTCTCATCAATGTTTCAGCTGCGATTCTGTAATATTCTTCCAGCAACTCCGCCATTTTTGTCACCCTTATCATCTTTTCTAGCTCCTCCTATATAATCAGAAGATTTAATATGATGATCCCAACCTCTATATGATCAAGTTCTATCTATCTGGCTAAGAAACCTTTGATGGGAATTCAGGATCTGTCTCATCTGGGATGCAACTTAATTGACTTCAAGCAGCTTTATTTATAAGGAAGATATTGTTTGACATTATTATCTAATAATATCCGCCGTTTCAGTCCCATCATTTTTGTATGAAATAGAAGGAAAATATTAGACAAGGTAGGAAAGAAATGCACAAGAAAGTATGAAAATGAATATCGAGAAAGTGCGAAAGTGCAGAGTAAAATTTATAAAATATGAAAATGGATCAATTATAATAAAAAACTTGTCAAGAAGAAGAAAGAATCTGTAAACTATTGCAGAACGGATTCAAGTATTTCTTTACCTTTTTATTAAATTATGCGTTAATTTTGAATGAAATTTTCTTCACGAAAGTACAACAATTACTAAGATAAAAAATACTAGTGATCATTTTGACAATTACTAGATAACAAATACTAGTGATCATTTGGACAAATACTGAGATTTTCATCATCAAGCCTTTGATTAAGGATGTTTTTACTTGGACTGATATTTTTTGGTCTGGTCTGTTTAAATCTGGTGTGGTATGGTTTGGCCTGAATTGGTCTGGTTTGGTAAATGTTTAGTCTATGTGTATTTTGTAACTATGGAAGTCTAGTCTGGTCTGATCTGGTTTGTTTTAGACCAGTTTGATCTGGTGTGGTTTGGGACTAAAAGCAGTCCAAGCAAAAACATCCTTGAATTGTACAGATTTAATATTAAGCATGTTTTTACTTGGACTGAAATTTGATGGTCTGGTTTAGTCTGTTTAAGTCTAGTTTGGTGTGATATTGTTTGAACTGGTCTGATAGTTTTCTGTGTATTTTGAAACTATGGAAGTCTGGTCTGGTCTGGTCTGGTCTGGTCTGTTTAAGTCTGATTTGATCTTATTTGGGACTAAAAACAGTTCAAGTAAAAACATCCTCAAAGATATCGATATTTAGATACATAGAATAAACTAAAAACACCATAAATAATAAATACGTAGGAATAATGAATCCACAATTTTGGTTTTTTTTATGTATGAAAAGAAACTGTTAAGACCCGAGGTTTTATCTTAAAAGGTGTCAACCTGATAGGAGCAGTAATCTAAATCTTAATATAACACTTAATTAATTGGGGTAATTTGAGTTTGCACCCCATATTATTGTTTAAATTAGACTTTGCACCCCATTTTTAAAAAACTTTGTTTTTGCACCCCAATTCCATATGAAAAGACAAAAATGTCCCTCCATTAACAATTCTGTTGACCTTCGACATATTCCTGATTGAGGGCATTTTTGTCTTTTCATATGGGGTTGAGGTGCAAAAACAAAGATTTTTAAAAACGCGGTGCAAAACCCAATTTAGACAATAATATGGGGTGCTAACTCAAATTACCCCTAATTAATTCATTAACACGTTTCCGGTATGGGAATTCAACACCCCTTCTAACAACCAGACACTTCGTCTAGATCGGGCCATCATTCATTTTTTCATCGATTCGTCATTGTCATTTTTTTTATAATCACGTCATCATATTTCATAAGGGGCCTACACCATGGATCGGCCGGTTTGGCTCTATACCGTTTTTATCTTATAAAGAAATAATAAAAAATGCCTAGAAAGATTAAGAACTAGCGTTCTATGTTTAGTTTTAGTTAAACAATTTGATAAGTTTCTGGTCTGACTTCAGGTTACCAATAGTCTATTGAAACGTGTATATGAGATATGAAGTAGGCTAGTAGTTATCTACTTATCCGTGGCGGGTATTATTATTTTTTAGTATAAATAACATCTAATTATGGTCAACATGGACTCAAAGTTGTTTGTCACATTCAAACATAATACAAGCATAATTCCATATTCACGTTCAAACATAAGTTCAAATACAATGATCATAAAGTTCATAATCACATGTATTATGAACTCAAACCATGAGTTAAAACATGATCATATTGATTATTTAAACACATAAAACTATACAAAAGTACACAAAAGTACGGACGTTACAATCCCTCCCACTTACAGAATATTATTTTAATTTATAATATGAGAGGACAGTTAACAAATCCAAAAACACATGTATTAAAAACACAAAAGTTTATTACAGGTTATTATTTCCAAGTATTATAATCTAATAATGTCAAATGTGATAACCGAGGACAATACATCATTTCCAAGAGAAGATATATTAATCAATATAGAAGACTTTTGTACGGAGTATAATATAATTGCAATAAATGAAATGGCCTACGAATACCCCACTCCTCTAACCCCACTCCTTTGGGTTAGAGCATCTCCAACCCAAGGGTGGATTGCATCTCCACCTCATCAAATGCACTCCACTTTAATAATTGTGCTCTCCAATGCAACAAAAAATAGAAAAGGTCAAGCTTAGTTGGCAAAGGAGAGAGAAGGCCAAGGTCTTGCACAAGGTCCATTTGTAGACCTTGGGTCTCACCTCACCAACTTAAAAAGCAATGATTCTTTTCTATTTTGCTTTGTGATTTCATCCGCATTGGAGTAGATAAAAAAGTAGACCCTTCCAATTTGTTTGTTTTCCCTTCCATCCTCAATGGACCCTTTACATTTGGATGACACATCATCTCCAATGCACCCTTGGGTTGGAGATGCTCTAAGCATCACATTAGTGGAGCTCGATCTCATCAACATCGATCTCCTAGTATAGATGTGCTAGCAAGTTCAAACCTTCCAAATATTTTCTCATCAATCCGTTTAATATCTTCCTTCCAAACAGACCACTACAAAAAAACGTTATTGGCATGGAATTGATATAGGCTGTCCACTTGGTGCGGATCATAATATATTTTTGGCACAAAATCAGGTCAAATAACTTGTTCCAAACTACATTGGCAGGGATTTTGTAACAAATTTGATAGAAATGCACAAATTCATGTCAAATCATTCCAAATCTTCAACAATTTTTAATTTTTAGGAATCCACGTCAAAATTGATTTCAAATTCGTGTCAATACCTTTTTTTGTAGTAGACCATATTGCAAGAATCAGTCGGATTGAATGTCTCTATTCTAATCTACTTGACCGTGACATAAGTGGCCCGCTGGCCATTTAGGTGCTTCAATGCTCTTAAATTTGAATTAAAAAAGAAAGTAGAAAAGGTAATGGTTAAAGAATACTTCATTGAGTTCATTCCATCTGTTATATACTCCGTAAGAAACATACGAGTAACAGAAGTAATGTTACTAGTCTACTTTTATTATCCTCTTGTTTAGTAATTCCAAGATACTTGGTATAAAGTTTGTTCATTTAAGGAGCTTTAATTTCTAATTTTGTCTAATTTTGTCTCAACAAAACTAATATATTCCTATTTACTTAAGTCTAATTTACTCGAGTCTAGTTGACTTTGATTGAAACTATGTATTTTATGTTACGTGAGAATATGAGCTAGATGCAAGTCTTGTGCAGTCAAATTCGGTTTCATTTGGCCTAAACTAGCATCGTATAATTCTTTCTTATTCAATTTAATGTGAGTTTGACTTGTTATTGTGTAAGTTTTGTACTCCCTCCCTTTTTAAAAGTTTAGTACAATAGGTTTGAACACATTATATAATGATAAAATAGTAGAGGTAATGAATAGTATACAAAAGGTAGTAGAGAGTGGAAAGTATGAAAAATAAGATAAAAAGTAGAAAAAGTAACGGTAATTGAGTATTTAAATGAAAAACTTACCAAAATGCGAAAGTGTAGCAAACTTTTATATACATCTAAAAAGAAAAGTGTAGCAAATTTAAAAATATTTATTTGTAATTATATAGTTCTCGAAAATAAAATTAAAACATATACGTGTACATAACTTCTACGGAGTACTACGTATAAGATTTTTTTTATGTGATTGTCATTTTGGCCTAGCCTAACGGTGTAATTCATATAGATTATTTAAACTGCACCGATTAACTTAGAGGAAGGTTGAGAATATGGTACTTCAATAACTAAAGTATAGTCGTATAGATAATACTCGGTATATTACATTGATATGATCGAATGCTATCTCTGTCCCTAAGATTGGCACATAAGGGATGATACGATTATTAATCACATTTACAAATGAGAATGGTAAGAATAAGCTAGAATGAATCACATAACTATTTTCAAATATACAATAGAAGAAGCAATTATAAATGTGTTGTGTACATGTCACTTTGTACACATCATTGAAATATTTCCCCTGTGAAAGCATTATCTCTGCAGCGGAGGAATACTTCCTGCATCAACATGTGTGGAATCAAAGGTTACTAACTCCAACTCAACTGATTGAATAGCTAATATTCCCTAACTAACTAAAATAAAACATCATCACCAGAATTTTTAGCTTTAAGATAATGTTTTGAGGGGTATATTTCTGAGGTCCCTCATGTTTTTCATTTATTAATGTTTTCGAAGATAACACAAAGTGAAATTTGGGGTATTTTTGAGTGATTTAGGTGGAGGTTTGCAATCTGGTGGTTTCATAAAAGAGTGTGCAATCTGTTTTGAACTTGGACTTGGTGACAACATGCACACGCTGGGTTGTGCATGTAATTTGTGGTACTGTCGTCGCTGCGAAGTCTCTTACGGTCTCGGTTTTCTCCGTGAGCGAAACCCTTTCACTGTGCTATCACATGCAGTTCTTTCGCGTTCATTTGGAGTGAATGATCTCCGTGGCTTTGTCCCAGATGTCGGGGAGTCTTCGGGGTTGAAAAAAATCCCTCTAAGGGACGAGGTTGACCCACGGCGTTCTGCACGTACTGTCCGTTTGAACAAGAACTACTTTGGGGGGGGGGGGGGGGACTTTGTTGTTAACTGTGGTTTTGGTTGGCTGACTAAAGCATAATCACCTACTGTATTGGAAGGTTATTGTGGATTATGCACCTAAGCAGTGCCTATTGTTGACTCTACTTGTGTTCAACAACTATCTATTTTGCCCACCAATCTAAATTCTAAAATAATGTGACAGTTTGCAATGTTTTTTTAGACTTTTATGATAGATTATTTATCTTACTTCACATTATGCATCTTTCTGTACTCACGCAAATTAGTTTGTTATTAGGTCATTGATGCAGGGTTCAGGGCTTTAGTTATGGTTAAGATAACAAAATCATGTGTGTTGGGATCCAAAAGATCCAACCCAGGAAAATTCTTACAGCAAATAAAGGATTTTACTGTTCAAGTACCAAGTGTTAGGCATTCTACTTGGCATGCTATTTATTCATGTTGACTTAAAAATATTTGATTTTGAGATGTTGTTTCTTGATGTTTCTAATGAAAAAAATTGTTGGTTATTATTTTGACTCTGTATGTTAAGGCCTGTGTTGCTACATGGTAAAGCGTTTTTGATGGATAGAAGGTATTACCATTTAGGCATCCTTCTTGACTTTTGTTAACCTGCAGATATAAACAGAGGGTGTAACCGTTAATTACTTAAAGTTTATTTGAAAAATCGAATGTATATAGTGTAATTGTGATGTGGTTCTGACCTTGAGTTTTAGAGTGTGCCTTCAGAGCTCATTCTCTTATGTCCTTAACTCTAGACTGTTAATTTATTCCTCTCATGGCATTATACAAATATAAGAATAGTGTTAATCAGTGATATGTTGTTGCGATCGACTTTAGAAATGTATGAAATTGTTTCCATACCTTATGAGGCGGAGCTTGGGGATGGTAATACATTCTCTTTCTCCGGGTGTCATGCCTGTTCGCAGAAATTTTGTTGTTAGTAATTAATCAACTAATTCAACATAAATGCATATAAATAAATAATGAGAGATCAATAATTGACGACAAATTGTGTTACGAAATAAGGTATTACCAACTCTTCTTTGACCTTATTACGCATGATTTGTTCTTCATTTTCTAAATACCCTTAGTCGTACAGAATGAAAAAAAGTATGAACCTTTTTGGGATAATGGTTGGAAGAATGAATAACTAATAATATTCTGGGTTTAGATGTTACCTGTGGTGTTAATAGCCAGCTTCGGTGATGCGTGTCTTAGAGGCTTTGGTGTTGATGCTTTGACCCATTTCCTCGCATTCCATTTAAGATAAAAGATTTGAATTTAGGAGGTAGTGGAGGTTTCCGGTAAGAAATATAAACAAAGGATTTTTTTCATACATAATACGGAGTAGGCAGTAAGAATTGGATTTTGATTCTTAGAAAAGACAGATGTTTATCTCCGTTTTGTCATGTGAAAGTGGGTGAACGGCAGTGTGGTGGTAAATTGGTGATGTTGTTTGTCGTTAAAATTTAAAAAAACTGAGGCAAAGGTTTTGATCTGCTCGAGATATTGTTTGGCGTTACGAGGCAGTTAAGTGTGATGGGTGGAGCAGGGGGGGTAGGACTGTGTTGGTATTAAAAGTAAGGCGGTTGGAATTTACAGATATGGGTGGGTAGGGGTTCGGTGGGTGAGGATATTAAATGATTTCTGAGTGGGTGGGTTGTTGGCACTTACTGAAGTGGGTGCGTGTTTTAATTTTGAAACCTTTAATAATGGGGGTGGGGCTGTTCCATTTAATGCTTGGTCGGTAAAGTGGTCTGTCCCAGACTTTCTTTTTGACTCTAGACCCTTCTCCATTCAATAATAGGGTACTACGTAAATGTGAAAAAACGATTATAATTAAAAATTAAATATGATTAAAATTTATTTTTGAGAAAAAAGGTATCATTTTTAAAATGGTGTAATTAATTGGTTAATAATTAATTTAATCAAAGTGGTTTAATAATCAAATACTACGTATTAAAATTGTAGAAATTAAATGGGACGTGTGTGTATTTTCCAGTGATTTATTTTTTCTGTTGTACTACGAAAGTGGTATGATTTGAATGTATGTGGCTACATTATGATTAAAAATTTTAAAGGGACATGGAAAATCACAGCTGATGATATCAATCAATGTATTCACGAAAATATTCGGTTTGGTCTGCGTAATTAGCAAATCCTTTTGTTTTCAAAATAATTCATATTTTTGTTATCAGGTGCTGTAAACCCCTTTTGTAGCACATTTAAAAAAAACGTCTGAAAAATAATGCTTCAAAGTGCAGGTTTTTTCTGTGTTTGCTATGTTCTCTTTTTATGTATCCGTGTAGTTTTTTCAAAATGGAGTTTTCGTGTCATGTGAGCGTGGAAGGGGATCTGTGTGAGTTATTTTAGAATGAAAGGGCTGTTTGATGACATTATCGGATCTTTAGATCTGATCTATTTTTGTTAAGAATACTCCATATATCCCTGAAAATAGTTTGGTCGATGATATTTCGTTCACACAAACAAAAAAATAAATTAAAATCAATCAGATCTGAAGGTTTTGTTCGTTTTTTCTGTAAAAAACGGTTCCGTTTTGTTTGTGAATAAAATAGGTTGTGTATCGGTGTGGTGTGTGCGTGCATGTGAGGGATCGGGTAGGGGTTTGTGGGTTTGGTTCGGTGGTGGACGACGAGTGTTACCTGTGTTTCCGGGTGTTGACGTTCGAGATCCATGGCTCCTTCCTCTGCCTTTCCGTGGTTTGGGTCGTCGCTGCGTTTTTCGGAACCTGTTTTGGTGGCCGGAGTGCTATTTTTCTGAGGTCTGAATCCCTTCATGGTGGTTTATCTTGCCATCGCTGAGAGTCGTTGGAGAGAGAGGGAGGAGCGATGATTTCTGCATGTCGGCGAAGTTTTAGGGCGAATCTTGGGGAATGAGGATGTGGCGTGTGATATATTAAGGCTGGGTTATATGGGTGCGGATCTTTAGTTCGTTGGGCCGCCCAATCTTTTTGATCCGTTGTTTTCGGGGTTAATTTACTTTGGGCCTACTTTGAGTGGGTATAGAAATTCAGTTGTTTGTGTTGAATTTTCAATTTGTTAATATTGACATTGCCTTTTAACAGCCCATTTGGTAGCACGAAAATCAGCCGTTTTGGCTGATTCTGCTGAAATTAATGAAGTTCTGGCTGAAGTGGCTGCATTGACTTATTCTGCTGATTTAAGAAAAAAAAATTAAAATATATTTTATTAATAAAATAAAGAAAAAAATGATATGTAAAAATAGCTATAATGATCATATACATTAACTTCAGCCCCAATACAGCCAGAAAAAGTAACTCCAACCCTACTTTTTCTCTTTATTACACAATTCAATGCACTAAGGCAAAAGTTACGTGTTTGGTAAAAAGGTTGGCTGATAAGTCTGATAAGCCGAAAAATAGTGTTGCCAAACGGCCACTAATACTTTAGGCTATTTTTCGTCGGAAAAAATAAATAAAATATCCTTACTTTAATGGGGTGTGAGATGAATGCCCCAAGCTTCATATTTATATTAAACATTCCGAACTTAGTATAAGAACTTATTTTTGGACCATAATCAGGTTACGTTAATCAAAATGTGTAGCTTTATTTTGCTTATTGCATAATTAAAATAAATTAATTTTTTGAAGACGCTTTTAACATTATAGAGTTTGTTTCATAATGAATAATCTTATTCCCCACCTTTGTGATTTGGACAATTTTTTCCTATTTTTAATTATACAATTAGCCCCATTGATAGGATTTACAAAATATACTGATATTATAGCTAAAATCCATGTTAGAACCTGTTTTGGTTAAAATTTCATGATATAGTTTTTGTTTTTTGGGTATGCAATTGTTTAGCTGTTTCGGATGGTGAAGTAATGAACTCCCCTGCAAAGCAAAGTTGAGGTAATCCTATGTGCTCGACCTCAGGCGTTGTTATTGCTTCCATGGAATCTGGGATTTCCTCTAACAACACGGTCAAATATTTCAATCATGGTAATGTTCGGAATCAATTTTCACTGAATTCTTAATTATTTTTTAATTAAGAATATAACTTCATTTTTTGTTTGTGAGGTGGTATTCTCACATGTCCGTGTTATTAATGTTGTGAGTGATGATCTTTTTAGGTTATATAGGTTCGAGGCATGGCGTTGTCCATTTTAATGCTTTGAGTTCTGCCCCATTAGCTCTGTCACCTATTGCTGATTTTGATGTAACTTCTCTCGATGACAGTGATGTGGATGATGAGTTCGTTGACTATGAGGCGTTGCCTGCTCATACCAGCCGGAGGGCTGTGGGTGAGCATGAGTCAATTATTTTCCAATTATAATTTCTCCCTATGTAGTTCATTTTCGTTGACCATTGTTATTTTTCGTCAATTGCAGAATATTCAAACATCGGTGATTAACATTGGTGTGTGAGTTTTGTGGTGCTTTGTTTTGGTTTGACGAACGTGTTGTATCCACATCAACCAAAGATGTTCCAAAATACTCACTGTGTTGTAGTCAAAAAAAGGTTGTGCTCCCTTTTATGAAAGAGCCGCCTTTGTTGTTAACTCAGTTGATTGAGGGTGCAGATGAACGCAGTAAACATTTCTTAGAAAACATACGATCTTAAAACAGTATGTTTTCATTTACGTCAATGGGTGGGAGGGTGGAGGGAAATGTCAATAGGGGTAGATCTCCTCCCATTTTTAAATTGCATGGCCTAAATTCGCACAGTTGTATATATACGACACCGAGAATGAAGTTGAGAATAGGGTTTCATCTGTGAGGTGCGCCACATATCTCAGTGTTATTGTGATTCCAGTGTATAGTTACATATTAATCCCCTATTTTTACCCGGTTAATGCAGTGACGGTCGTGATAAGAGGAAGTTGCATGAGGGAATAATTATTGGATTGACACAGATGCTCAACGAACATAACGTTTTGGTCAAGTCTTTTTGACTTGCCAAAGAGATGATTGAAACTAATAGTGCCACAAATGTGAGGTTGAAGCTTATAGGAAATCGTTGTGGCGATGCCCGAACGTACAATTTGCCTTCAGTGTCAGAGGTGGCTGCTTTAGTTGTGGGTGATTTTGATGAATCCCTCGGGGAGCGAGACATATTGGTTCAAACTCAAACTGGAGCGCTTCAGAGGATTAACGAGTTAAATCCTACATACTTTGGTCTTCAGTATCCGTTATTGTTTCCTTACGGAGAGGACGGTTATCGTGAGGATACTTTGTTATCCACATCTAATGGTTCTACAGTTGCTGGGAGAAAAAGAGTGAGTGTTAGGGAGTTTCTTGCATTCCGTCTTCAAGAACGGCGCGATAATCATTCATTTCTTCTCAAGACGAAGAGACTTTTTCAGCAGTTCGTTGTTGACGGCTATACTTTGGTTGAGTCTGCGAGACTGAAATTTGTTAGGACGCATCAGAAACAACTTCGTTGTGAAATGTCTAAGGGTCTGAATGATGCTTTCTTGCGGGGCGAAAATGATTCACGCACTCAGGGAAAGCGAATTGTTTTGCCACCTACTTTCACAGGAGGTGCACGATATATGATACAAAATTATCAGGATGCTATGGCCATATGTAGGTGGGCAGGTTATCCAGATCTATTTATTACATTTACCTGTAACCCAAGGTGGCCGGAGATTGATCGTTTTCTCCATTCGAGAGGCCTAAGACCTGAAGATCGCCCTGATGTTGTCACTAGAGTGTTCAAGATTAAGCTGGACGGTTTGATTCAGGATCTAAGGAAAAAAAATTCTCTCGGCAGTGTTAGGGGAGGTAGGGCACTTAAATTTTATTTATTATTCGCAATTTAAATGAGAAATACTTACAATTTGTTTTGCCTTTTTAGTGGTGTACACGATAGAATTCCAGAAAAGAGGATTGCCTCATGCCCATATTTTGTTGTGGTTGTCTGTAGAGGATAAGTTGCCGTCGCCTGAAGATATTGATAGGGTGATTTCCGCTGAGATTCCTGATGTTGACCGTGACCCGTTGTACTATGCTGCAGTTGGCGATTTTATGATGCATGGCCCCTGCGGTGGTGCCGTTAGGTCAGCGCCTTGCATGGTTGATGGGAAGTGCACCAAATACTTCCCCCAAAAATGGTGTACTGAGACATCAGTCGATGACGACGGTTACCCGGTTTATAAACGTGTTAGTAACAATCGTGTGATCCATAAGAATAATGTCGATTTGGACAATAGGTTTGTTGTCCCCCATAATCGATATTTGTTGATGAAATATGGTGCACATATCAATGTAGAGTGGTGTAACCAGTCGAGGTCGATAAAGTATCTGTTCAAGTACATTAACAAGGGTCGTGATCGAGTAACAGCAGCCTTTTACAAGATTGTGGATGGTGATACGCAACACAAGCCTGTTGATGAGATTCAAATGTATTATGATTGTTGATGGAGTATATGGCCCAGGAACCCCCGGCCCATAGACTCCTACTTCTCCTACACAAGTCCATTGAGCTCAGGCCCAAATACAACGGCCCAAGCCTCAAAGTAGCCCGGAGTACACACTGGGGGTGCCTTCGGCCTCCTTGGTCGAAGGCTCCAAAACTCACATGATAGCTTTCTCTGGCGTACGAAGCTACTGGGAGAAAACGACGAAAAACATGAGCCTTCGGCACTATCAAGCCCTCGGCGTCAGGGAAGCCTTCGGCTGAACCAAGCCTTCGGTCACACAAGGCCTTCGGCTACGCAAGGGTCCTCGGTCACGTGGAGCCCTCGGCTACACGAGGAGCCTTCGGCCAAACAGGCTCAATCATCGGAGATTCCTTTTGGAGACAACCAACCACCGCATTTAATGCCACGTCACATCCGCCAACCGCATTCAATGCGGTGGACGTACCACTGCCGGTGCCAACCGGCCGATGTGACCCTTCGGCCGTTGGATTACTGACACGTGTACTCTCATCGCATTTATTACTGCTATAAATAGCAGCCCATTTCTCCTTGTAAACGATCCACATCCCAACTACACATCTCGAGTTCATCTAATAAAATTGACTCTCTCTCCTCCTATTTACTCTGACTTCTCTCTAGGTTATTCCCGCAATAACCCCTCGGATAAGATACCCCCCGGGTAGATTATCCATCAATTGTAGATACATTTCACCCTGCGAGGCCGCCTGGAGGGTTTATGGTTTTGAGATTCAATACAAAAACCCGCCGGTGGAGCGATTGAGCTTCCATTTGCCAAACGAGCTAGCAATCTGTTGTTTTTAATGATGACCAGCCCCTGGACGTGGTTGTTAATGCCACGTCCGATCCATTAAGGATAGTATGTTCACTGCATGGATGGAGGCCAATAAAAAATATCCCGAGGCCAGATCTTTGACGTACGCTGAGTTCCCCCAGAAGTTCGTTTGGAAGAAAAAGACGAGGGAATGGACTCCTAGGAAAAAGGCTTTCGCGATTGGCAGAATTTATTATGTCCATCCTGGAAGTGGTGAATCTTATTACATCAGGTGCCTCTTGAATCACATTCGTGGTGCAATGTGTCACGAAGATCTTAGAACTGTGGGCGGTGTAACATATGTTTCATTTCGTGAGGCGTGTTATGCATTGGGATTACTGGATGATGATAAGGAATTCATTGATGCTTTCAAGGAAGCTAGCTTCTTCTCTTCAGGCTTTTATATGAGGATTTTATTTGTTATTCTTTTGTGGACGGAGTCAATGTCTAGACCAGAATTTGTATGGCAACATTGTTGGAGGTACATGGCAGATGACATACAACACACACGAAGGAGAGTGTTGCAACATGCAGGTTAAATCCCATATGGAAGGAATTCTTTCCTTACTTTAATATATATGAACTGTGTATTTCTTAGTTATTCGTCTCTCTTTTACTCCCTTTATTTTATCTCTTTTGCAGAATTGATTCTTTCTGATGACCAGTTGGAGAAATTGGCTTTGGCCGAATTAGAGAAATTGTTGCGAGGTCGCGGAAAGAGTTTGCGAGATTACCCTCCGATGCCAACGGTTACGTTGGATTCACTCCTTTCTTCCAATGACAGGATGATATACGAAGAGTTGAGTTATGACCGGATCGCAATGGCTGAAGAGCATACGACATTGTTCGGTTCCCTAACGGATGAGCAACTATGTGTCTATGAAACGATAATGCGTTCTGTGGAAGAGGAGGCCGGGGGTGTTTTCTTTGTTTATGGATATGGTGGTTCCGGTAAAACATTTGTGTGGAAGACGCTTTCTGCCGCCCTTAGGTCTAAGGGTGAGATCGTCCTCAATGTTGCATCGAGTGGGATTGCTTCCCT